CACGAAGTCAAAAATGACATAAATGAAAGGGTCGCTAACAAAATCAAAACAATTATATATCGCTGAATAAATCCCTGCAATAGTCCATATCTGGCGTTCCTTATACGGGAATACGCTATTGATTTTTACCTAATTCAGATTGTTCCCAAACCAGTTACTGACATCATCACCCATTATAAGCAATATTTCAGTAGCAGTAATAAAAACCCTTCTACGAATATAATTTGCTTTAGTTCCAGACGCCCTCAATGTTAATTCTTTCAGGAACATTTTTTTTCTGCACTACAATGCAAGCATTCCAACAAGTCCTAAAGAATAAAAACAGATAAACATTTACGCAGGGAAAAACCCTAACCCTCCTCGAATATAATTAATAATGAGGTTAGTAGAAGATGAAATACTGCCAGCGTAGGAAAATGTCATTTGAAAAAAATTAATTTGTATAATTCAAGCAGCATATAATACAGAAATCAACCCGAAAAGAAAAATGACCTCTTCATGTACAAATTATACCGAAATGCTCGATTCAACAACTGACTCCCAAAAGAGGGTTTTCAAGTTACTAAAACACTACCAACAATTTTTCAAGAGTCTACCGCGGCAAGAGCTAAAGTGAGATCGTCTGACTTGAGACAATAACTGATAACCAAAAAAAGCACATCACAAGACAGTACAACGCATTGGGAAAATGGCAAAACCAAATAAACCGATCACCGGCACTAAAACATTTCATACAAACAATGATAGAAGTTCTGTCCATTTCTAAAACTGACCACCTGTATAAAAGAAGGAAACTGTTTTCAACAAAAATAACTTTCAAAAAAAAGTTGCTCTATAACGAAAAAAAACCAGCTACGAAAAGGAAAAGTAACTTATATAACAAGAATACAATGGTTATCGACGTGGAAGAATTTTTAGTTCAACGTAACACACAAATTCTCAAGCTGTTAGAATAACAAAAATGAATATAAATTAAATCACTCTTCCGCCTCTTTTTCACTTTTGATCTACTTCACCTACTTGTTTTTCAGAAAATATTTCAAAGTAACTCCGAAAAACAAGTTTTATTTCCTTTCCAAAAAAAAGTTGAAGAGTGGTTATTTGTTAGCATTCTCTACTTAATAGCATCAATCGCGGTAAAATCTGCATCATCAAACTCAGCATCATCCCAGAAAGAATCGACCTGACCTAAACTTGAACTCCGTGTGAGCACTTCGCAACCATTGTGGTCGGTAGCAACACCTACAACAGAACAACTCCAAAAACAACGAATCATTTGCAAAGACTCAACAGCGAATATAATCTTTCCGCCTCATTCAGCAGAAAATTAAAGACACAGCTGGAATTTTAAGGCAGATGGTGCGAAGAAATTTTTTGATTAGCTACTAAAAATCATATAAAAAAACGTGATGCAAAATTTAAGATCTGTAAATGAAAAACCTTTTATATAGCAGAAATTCATGCAAAAGTCTCACTAGTTTACCAGTTCAAACAAGAAAAAATCGAATAAAAGAACTGCAGACTCTCAAGTAAAGAATATAAATAAGTGTTTTACGTAACATACCCCGACTCGTCGCAGCACAGGTTGATTTTGGGTCAAAAGTTTTGCAACGGCGAACAACAATTCTTTCTGTCCTTTGTTTAACAGGAAACTCCTTTTTCTGAACGTCGGCTTTAGGCTACAACAGTAGTATTTTTACCAACCAACGCTTCATCCCTTTCTGGAAGATATGAATTAAAATAATTACCTGGGTACAGGAAGATGTGGGGAGTTTAGAACGCGAAGATTCGCTTTCTGACGAAATATAAAATGCATCTGACTTAGGATTTGAATCAATACCGCCTTCTTTCTCCGGCCCACAAAAATCACCGGGAACTTGTGCCAAAAATAAATTTAGATTCTCATCTTCAGTGGGACCGCAAGGTTCAAAACAGTTTTTTTCAACAAAGAAACTGCACATCTGGTCACCCGTAAACCCCTTTGAAACAACTTTTGCTGCATTACTTACAGGTCCCAACGCAATTCTATTTTCACATGCACCAATATTACCACTGTGACGAGATTCCGATAACCCTTCTTGCCTAAAGTTATTTTAAATTGAAAATTTTCTCGGACTTATCAAAATACTTCGGTTACAGGCGACTGTAAAACAACAACTGAAAAAAAGAAAATCTTGACTTAACGCCTAAAGGAGCTCCAAACTACGTTGAGAGAGTTTGAAATAATTTAAGGAAAAGAATTTGTTAATGCACAAAATATACAGCCCTAGAAAATCCTCCAAATTCACCGAGTCGTATATTGTCTATACAAAAGATGAGTATGCAGGTGAAAAAATGATGCCGGTAATACGTCAGACTCAGGTAATTAAACGTTTTCAGTAGGCCCAAAAAAAAAGAAGTCAAAAGAATACACTGTAGAAAAAAATTTAAACGATAATAAAACCAGACCAGCGTGCAGCAAAAAAAAATGACCTGCAAAATTAATAAAAGACTAGTACCTTATAATAAGACTAGTATAATTCGACGGCGCTATCGGAGACGGTTCATCACCTTCGCAAAACTTGAATCGCTTCATTTCTCGAGAACGCGGTGTTTGTATAACCGTTGAAGACAAAACTTCAAACGGCTTCAAGACATGGCTCTCAGAATCTAATCCATTTTCATCTAACTCCTCCTACAGAATAAAAATGGAAGTAAAAACAAAAGGATCCAAATACTGAAGTATTTCTCTGAGAACAACACAAAATTTAACAGCCATAAATAATTCTGAAACCTCTCCAAAAAATAATCTTGAAGTAGAAGGCTTCTCTCGGCCACGAGACAAGGCAGAATTCTTGCGTCTCTCCATCACCTTTCCTGAAAAATAAAACAAAGTATTAAGCTGAACAAATTAGAACACAGTGAAAAAAAAATCAAATTATATGCTACAGATAAATAAATACTTCTGCAACGCAGAATAAGATACAGCAATCACAACAAAAATTCAACAATAGCACTAAAATCTGTACTTTCAGAAAAAATAAAACAATTTTACCGAAGTACAAAAAATATCAAATTAATTTAGCTGTTAAAAAAGCCACCAATAGCAAAGACTACAAAAAAAAGTCTCCACCCCATCTGCCTAAATTTAAATATTTTTTTTTATTATGACTTATGAGCTTAAAAACAGACTCATTCGCCGCTTGCTTTCCTCCAGAGACTGAGCCAAAGCAATATCAACAGAACTGGAAGTTTCGTCAGGTTTGAAACTGGATGAATTACTCCTAGAAACCGGCGAATCTTTTGTCAGAACACTTAGCGGTATCCTAAGAAGTGGGGGAGTGCTCTGGAAAGAGAAGAAATCAGTATTCAGTAATTATTAGATTAATTTCAAAGCAACGGCGACTGCAGACCTAATTCGAAGTTGAATTCCATCTCAACCCTTTACCGGATAATATAACCATAAGTTTACTCTAAATTACCTACAATCCATTCCCAAAAATGTCTGCATGCATACCGGTCAATTCAAAAATAAAAGTTTAGGGTAAAATGATTAGACAATCTCGTGCGAAACGATATTTTTTAAAATTTGCCTCAGTTTCCTCGCCATAACTGTTTTTTGTACAAACAGACTGTTCATCATTATCATTTTTTGCGAACCATTTGTCAAACTCCTCGTCGAACAGTTCTTCAGAAACTAAAAAAGGTAATGAGTGACTTACTGTCATCATCGACGAGCTTTTGGTTTTCAAAGACAAAAGCAAGGACAAAACAAACCATTGTGAACCGTCCTTGCAGGCTTCTGCAACTTGGCACCACGAGGCTGACGACATTTTGGGGAATCATACCAATCAATTGAATTTGTTTTCTCACTTTCACCCGAAGCCTTCATCAGTTCAATTATGGCAACGGAAATATCACAAACGACGAAATAATGAAATAAACGCTAAGTGGAAATCAAAAGATGCAACTGAAGTACCTAAAATTTAAGAAAAAATTACACCTATATGTTATGCAACTCTGTTCAGGAACTTAACCAGCGATAAATTTTTGGCAGACAAGCCTCTCTTCACACAAATGCAGGTTCCTCTAGTCAAAATACTACCACAATAAAGGCCGCATCATAAACCGTATCCGAGGAATCAATCACAGGCAACCAACCAACTTTAAAGGTTCGCCATGGAAAACAAGAGCCAAACCTTTCGAAATAGAACACAGAAATGCAAATGCGCTAAAATCACCACTACGGGAAAACATGCCATCATACAGAGACAGCTCCGAACAACGGCACTAGCAACCCTGATATTCTTACGACTAGAACCTCACTCCCTCAAGCTGCATACTCATTATAATGCAACATTAACTCTCTCCTTCGTACTTGGCTACACATCCCCGCAAGCAAAAAACAGCAGCCTTCCACCCAGCCGCTGTCCCAAAAACTGACCAGCCCCAAATCAAGCGAGCGCAGCAGCGGCAAAGAATCCGAGACTTCAATTACCCCACCAAACTTCACGTCTCCAACGGGGCCGGAATAAACCCACCATACCCACCAACACGTCCGATATTCAAAACTCAGCTACCCCCACAACCTTGGACAGAAGCCAAACCACGTCACTCCCAACCCATCCTCCCCCAGGCGCACCAGCAATCGCAACCCCTTCTGCCATAATCACTCACCTACCAACACCTAGCACCGCCCACCACAACCCAGCCTCACGCACTCCGCTGCAGAACCAACTTACCAAACATCCGCCACCGATACCAAGCCCCGGACAACAGCCCAGTCACCCAAAACGCGCAAAAATCCAATTAATCTTTATTCACGAAACAAAACAAACTCGAGGAAATGCAATAAAATCATACAGTTAAGAAAACTGGCACCATAAAAGCAGCACCTAACCAACAACAACTCTCCGCTAGCAGAAATAAGTCATACAGTCCATGACCGAGAAAAAGTTCAATACGAACAAATATCACCGAAATTAAAAGTGAAACATGCGAATCGCAGCGTTGTATCACGCGTTGAACCGGCAACTTGACAATTCTTTTCCCCAATATCCCAATTCTGCGTTTATATGCTGAAGGTCCAGCTCACCTATGTCATCTGTCGTACTAAAACAAAACTGTCCAAAACCTCAGATGAAGTATAACAGCACCCAACGTAGACCGTACTACCATCAATGTTAGCCCTCCTTTCTCCACCAGCTCATCTTCGAGTAAACGTGATAACCTACCAGAAAACTGAAAAATTGCTTCGTCCCCTCGAAGCCATTTGATCTGCTATCATAATCGGGGCTGGAAGAGAACATGGCTGGTTCACTATCTGCATATTAAAGGTAAGTGCATGAACCATGCCTTGCACCTCGTCCGACTTCATCCCCAATGTATCGTACAAAATATTGTACCGGGGGGTCCGTGCCGTTCCCTGAAACTAAGAAATGTGGCTGAAATCAGCTAATTGAGCGCAATCTCGTGATGTACTGGGACCTGTATGGTTGAATGTGAGTTCAAGAAGAATTCGTTATACACCGGATTCACGATCGACCTGTCAACAACTGTGCCCGGCGGGATATTTTGCTCCGTTGCCCGTGCTTTGGGGTTTATCTCCTGAAAATAAAAACTGCAAACTGCAACGAACGGCTCCGTACAAAAATGAATAAAGCTTCGACTAACACTGCGATATATACGGAGCTGATGCTTCTTAGTTGCAACGATGTACGTGATGTGTGGTTTGTACTTCTCACCACCAACATTCTCGCAAGCAGCTTTTACCTGCTGCACCTCCGTTTCGACTACCTTGAAACAGATGCAATGAACACAAACACAAACACACACACA